ATTAGAAATGTTCACTCCCGGATAATATAAAACGTCAGTAAAAATCTAAAGATTATATTTTATAGCATCAGTAACAAAATAGCAACCACGTCTCCAGTTCTACTCCTACCACAAGTAGCGAAATTAGAGCTCAACAAAATGTGCATATAGTGAAGGTACAAACATTTATGTTCAGAAGCATTTTAGTCTAGTCAAATGGTAGAAAATAATAGAATGTTTAATGTAGTTTTGATATTTTGTTTCTCTATATTTTTGGGTCGCTGAAAATGAATATCAAGTTTGCCAACAAGAATTTGGCCTGGAAACAAGGTTTTATGCAACGAAAAAGGCAAAAAGCCGCCATTTATTTTTCTTCAAAATAATTCAAAAGCTATTAATTTTTTAAAAATATAATGATTTAAAAAAATAATTTTAAAATAAAATAAGACAAAATTACAAACATTTAATTCCATTAAGCTTCTATTCCCAATCAGTACTTCAGCTGTGAGAGCAATGCTAAATTTGGTGGTATAAGCAAAAACAACATTTAGAAACGAGAATGATCTGACTTAGACCTCAGATAAAGTGGTCTACTAGCTCAATGGATCAGGAAAACTGGTCAAAAATCTTGATTGATGGATGACATTGACCCGCAAGCAGAAGTCCTTATTTGACACAGGTGTATTAAGTCTTTTTGAAATTATTCAGTACAAATAGTAAATAATGCATTACATAAGATTAATAATAGTTATTTATGTATCTCGATATAGTAGATGTTTGTAAAGTAGATGTTTGTGCCCCGACGGCGACTTCCAACCCCTCGACACAGAGACCCTGGAGTTTGAAAGACCTCTTCGAAGCAAAAACATCTAATAACGCCCGTGGTTCACACACAATTTTATGGTTTACGAGTTCGTTGCTGATTCAAATGGGAATTCGAAACATTTTGTAATTTTTCTTGCGTGTAAAGTGAAACAACACATTGTAATAGTCATTTGACAAAATTTAATTAAACAATTTGATTTTGAGTCCATTTTTTGGAAATTTTGTACGAGTGGCCCTCCAATCAAGTACCCCCCCCAAAAAAAATTAAAATATCGGTTTCAAATTCCACGGGCCGCGTCATCAGCCAGAACGATTGCGAAATAACCATTCTGAAGGAAATCGGCTGAACGGTTTATACGCTAGCGTTATGCACAAACGGCTGACAGACGTTTTGCCATCAATAGATTTTTCAGTGTGAAGGACGCAAAAAACAAGGATCCTTGCTACACCACGTTAGACATTTTAGAGCATTTTTTTCCATACTTATCAACTGGATTTATCCACTTTTTTGTTACCAGGGCCCGCCTATAAGAATTTTTGTGTCAAAAATTTGCCATTTTCCGGCGCACGATTACAATACTGCCTCTTCTTACGTTAGTAAGTGCGAGAAAGTAAAAATGTGATAAGTAACAGTGAAATATAGGTGACTGATGGCAATTATAAATTCACGAGAACACTCCAAAATCGCAAATTCGCGTCAATTAAGAAAAATCAGATACACAACGAGTGATTTTACTCATTTAAGCATTATTCCATTTATTTATTGTATTTGCTTTTATCTGAACATTATTACATCGAATCCATAAAAACGTATTTGTTGTGTTGGTATTAGAGTTGGCCATAAAGTATTCAAAAGGCCCGAGTGCGTAAAGAATCAGAGAGACGTGCAAGGGTATTGAGAAAACCGTTACGTAGTAAACCTTAAATAAATATTATTTTCCTTGTTTATATTCCGTAGTCTGTAATATGCAAAGAAACAGTCATGCAGCACATAATATTTTTCTTTGCACTTAAACGTTTGTATCGAATTTAATTGTATGATGTCATCTGGCAATGTAATGAAAAGTAACGTGCATGTATTATATGAAAGAGGATTTTGATTATTGGTGAATGTCCGGTTTTGGTCTGTATTTCAGCATCACTTAAAATATGGCGGACACATCATAAACTTTAGTTTCTGTGAGCGGGCTTATATTCTAATTCTTATTGTTTAACTTAGCGTTCTGTTAAATTTGATAGAAATTATTGGGCTTTGTTCATTTCTGCTTGGTTGCAACGATGTTTTTTTTTCTAAGAAAAAGTGTTGATGAAAAGTGCACCGCAAGTAATGCGAATGTGCGAATGTCAGTCATTAGTGCACCCCAGAAGATAACTGTGTTTAAGAGCAACCTTTTTATTTTGTTTTTCACTTGCGCGATAATCTTGTTGTTCCTCCTTCGGCGAGGGAGCGTTGGTCACTGGGTGAGTGCGAAAGTCGGATGGGTGTGACGTCTTCCCGCTCAGCTGACTGTCGACGACCCGCAACTGCGCCAACGGCCCCTGGCACGAAGCCAGCAGCCAGGGGCACAACCGCAAGCAGCTTGAGGAGCAGGCCCAGCCCGAGGAGAAAGAGACAATTCCGAGAACTATGCTGATATACAATATTAAATAAAAATAGAAAGAAAGGAGATTCAAGTGTGTGAAACATTGTAAATTGTAGAATTATAATTTTAGCATAGGCGAAAATCATAAAATTGCGGAACTAAGCTATAAATTCGCATATTAAATAAAATAAATATTTCCTGTCCTCAAGAATGAGAGAAAACTCCAGAGCTACAGTGAACTATATCAGCTGACTTAGTTCACTTACAGTGCGTCTTCATTTTTGTGCGAGCAGAATCATGCGAGTCAGAAAGATGAAACGTTGGGCTTATGTGAGATTCTTATGATGAGGTAGTTTTGTGGCTATTGCATTAATAAGACAGTTTCTTTCGATGCAAATAGGAGGATTTTGTTGTGACACAATTTACCAGTTATGCAGCAAATTCATTTATTTCCGTATGATAGAGATACCACCGTTTAAAATTTTAACATAGAGTGGTGGAGTTAACTAGTGGTATTACAGAATGGCACAGACGTTCTCGTACTACTTGTTTTTTTGTTGCTGTTTTTGTCTGGGCTAGCTTTTCGGTTTTACCCAGCCTCTGCCCAGTTGTCTTCTATCGCCGTCCAAAGTACATTTTTTCACATTTTCTCAATTTTCTGTCTCCTATTGGTAGAACTGAATTATAACTTTAAGAATATTATAGAAAAGTAAAATATTGCCTCGTGTGTATTTTTTCATAAAAAAATTGAAGCGGTTTTTGAGAAAATGTCGTATAAGTGATACTGTAAACTCTAAATTTGAAGCTCTTTTTCACAGAAAACTGTTTTGGGTTTTCGAGAACATTCCTTTGCACATCCACTCACAAATAAATAATGTATATAAATCGCCGATAGTGTAAATGTTAACGGCGTGAGCGATATTAAAAAAAAAAATTTGTGTAATTTTTGAAAAACAAAATAATACATCAATATGGCAGTATACTCAGTCCATTTAGCATTTTCCGTTAAAAATGGAGTAAGGAAAACTTCAGTTTTGGTGAAACTTTATAAAACATCATTTGAAGCACATGTACTCACAAATGCAAAAATGTTTACAAGTAGCCGGTATTGTAAATATTAATGACGTGTGAAATATATAAAAAAATTACATTGGTGTAATTAAAAAAAGAATACATCAAAATGGGACTTATTTCATTTTATTCAGTAAATTTAGCACTATCCCCACTTGAAGTTTAAATATAAGTTTTGGAGCAGTTTTTGAGAAATTCTTGTTTATGATATTTTTTAATATCGCCCATATTTAATTCAAATTTTGTGCGTAAACGACTGCCATTTTCAAAAAATGTGCATGACGTTAATGAAAAACGATATATGGAGAACACAATTCATTTGAAGAAAAAATCTCATTTTTAATATTGCAGATGCAGGAAACGCTGAAAAAATTCAAACATCTGTAGTTTTCGAAAATGCCAAGTTTATAAGTGCATTTCACTCTATTTTTACACAAAAATATATTAATAAAGCAAAAATTGGACCTATTTTTGTGGATTTTTTTATGTCCCAATTCATGAAAAATATCCTCATGTTGGAAAGAATGTTTCTCAAAGTCTCAGAGCTACGAGTGAGGCCAGATCTACTTAGGAACATTAATTTTGAAAAAATCATATGGATTCTAACTACACAACTTGTTAGAACAAATAATTTACTACGTATTGGAACAAGGTTTATCAGCTTTCTCTGAATCAAGGTCCGAGTTTTTTGTCGAAAAATCGCCGTGTTTTGACATCGCATTTCAAATTTCTCTATACTACGTATATTATTCCGTATATACGTACGTATACGAGAAAGAAAAAAATGCTGCTAGTCGGACTGCTCTTTAATTAAGTTCTATACTTCAGATTAAAATTAGCAAATTTGTCATAAATATGTATTAATCACTACTGTTTCTATTTTATGGAATAATAATTAACATATATACAACCAGTTACTGATTTGTTAGAGTTCAAACAGCATTGCTCTTCACAAGACGAGCAAATAACAGTTAGTTCCTAAAATGTTTTTTGTGGCAGTTAATTACGTGAGCCGTTTCACTTTCCAAGCCATGAGATCGGCATCGCTGCACTATTCCATTGTTTTTCCAAAGCCCTCTCGAGTTTCTCTCCCAAACAAGGCAATCCCATTATCGTCAGGGCCTCCACTGTTGACGCTCGGAGTCAGAACATCTCTTCTACAGCTAAGTGGCATTACCCTCGTGGCTTCTGATATTGGATCCGGGACAGCTTCGATAATTTGGCAAACAGCTTCACAGAGACATTGTGTATACTCTTCAATGATATCACAAACGCTCTGTTGCCAAGGAGAAAGCGAATGTTTTTTTTGTTTTTGTTTTTAATCATTCTTAAGTCAGTATTGCAAACAACTTGCAACCAAAACACTTGAATGCAGAACAGAGGAGAGAATGATCAAAATGTTAAATCTGATAAAAAGATCACTTGCAGACATGTTTTGTCATATTCTGATTCGTAATCCTAGAATATTATAATAGAAATTCGTGATTAAATTGAATACTTATTCCTGACGCTGCCTACCGTGCCTACCATGATAACTTGTACAGTAGTCGTGCGTTGTGCTTCGTGTTTTTGTGTTTCAAGGAGATGAGCAGTTCAGATGAAGAGGGCATTGAAATCAGCAACCAGCAAAATACTAAAGTAACTTTTAATTCATAACATATTACAATTTGAGTCACATACTCCTAAAATTCAATGAAATGCTGGGCACTGGAAGGAAATTTTCGATTTTATTAATGCGAAAAGTAAGCAATTGATCTTCGGCAGAGCAGTTACTCACAAAGCGGAAATTGCTCACATTCTTTATTTATAGTTTGTAATAATTGAATTTAAAACTCCATAAAGAAGTAATATCACATTTTTATTCATGTGACCCAAGAAGATACAGACAGTTCGTAAAAACATACAGTTGAAATGTACAGCTTTCGCCGCAGATACCTGAAAACATTCAACGTCCAACGATTCAATATTTGAGCTGTTCACGATACAGACATGTCGCGTCATAGTTTGTTGTTCTTGCTGCGCCGGAATTCATGGATTTAACATTCCTGACGTTTACGTCTCGCCTTGGACTGAAAATATTTACTATTCTATGGGAGATACCCCTTTGGAAGATTTCAACATATTAATAACTTAGTTGTCATTGCAATATTGTATATTTGATTCAGATTTGATAAACCATTAGTGCTTTTCTACTAAACAACCTTTGCGAAGTGTCTATTTTTTTATTAATTTTCCTTCGTGTAACTGTTGACTTTTATCATTTGAAAAATAATCCTTCAATGGCTACAATAATGTTTTTCTCTATTGAAAAGCTCTCAATCAAATACACGATACAAAAGTTTACAAGTTACACATAGTATAATAAAGCAAGCACAAGCATGCAAAGTCTCCATTTTAATGGGAGAGTTCAAATCCGACAAGACTAGATCGAACTAGAAATGCAATAATTCATTCTTTGAATATGTTTTCGTACAAATGGCTCTGATGAAGTAATTCAATAAATTAACTCTCCCACTTCCTATTGCTCGTTCAGTTACAGTTCAAAAGAAGGCCAAGCAACAGAACTGCCCATGTAGAAGATTTATTGCAACTAATAAATAATATATGAACAAATTTAATTTCCTAACTAAGGTACAATAAAGGCAATAAAAAGCTGTTGCTAGAGTGTGGCAGGCCACAATTGCCATCAAATGTAAGAGTCGTGATGTTGCGGGCAGGGTCATGGAAATAGCCTTGGCTGTCTGATTCAGCCCAGACCAAGGCTACAGTGGCCGAAGCGTCCAAGTGATCGGCGTCATAAGGTGGTCTAAAAGTCTCAGACAAGACCCCAACACAATTGACTTCAGAGTCAGTAAAGACATCTGTAGAATATCTTTAGTCTGCATCAGTTTGGGACCGCGAAGCCGACAAGTACTCGTGCAGCCGAACAGTTATTCGACAAGTGCGGACTATGCACGCCGAAGGGATTTGTTTACGGCAAGTGGGTCAATAGGTGGATAGGTGGGTAAGTGTCCGAGCGGGCTGCTAGCTTGGCCAACGGGTAGCTGGGTAGGTTGAAAATAATATTGAGTGGACCGATTACAGGCGGGTTGACCAGTAAAGTAGCAGTGCAAGTGACCGGTCAGGTTCAAAGGTCTGATGAGGGGACGGGTTGTCTGTGCCAGTGGTTGCCGCGGTGACGTTGGCTGGGCGGGTGACGTGGCGGGAGGCAGAGTTGGCAGTTGAATATGTGGTGGAATGGCGGATGGACGAACGTGGGCGAGTCCAAAGGCGAGAGAGGTCGCTCCACCTCCCCAGCAGAAAGTGTGTCAAGGTGCGGTTGATGTCACTTGCCTGTTCGTTTGGTATTGTCGCCGATTTCGCGCGTGTGTGCGAGGTTGCCCAAGAGAGCCGAGTGGGCTTCGAACTGTGTCCTGAGGTCCGCAAACACTTTCCCTCTTGTCAGGTTACATGAAGGAGTGGCACTTTTCACTTCGCTTCTCGACAGTCGACGAAAAGGCATTCGCTGGAATTAGTTAAATCATTCTTCTACTGTAATAGTCCCCACCAGAAGCTGATCATGTATACGAGGCCCAATAGCATGAAAAATGTGGAGTCCGTGGATTCCTGAGCGATACTGCGATATTGAACACTGTGATGGTTATCAAAATAAGAATAACAAGGAACGTTTGCATTTAAAAATTTGCAAATAATTCTGTGAAGTAAATAACAAACACACATAATTAAAAAATGCCCTAAAAAACGGGCCACGGACCGCACGCGATATTTCCTACCTTTTCCTTGTCCTATCCTAACCCCTTACTCATACTTACGCCAACATGCAGAGTTCCACGTCGTTTATGTCGGGAACTAATCAAGAGCGCAGAGCTTGTCCCGGAAGAGGCGGTGCCTGACTTGAGAAGATACCTTGAGCCCCACGTGTCAACGAGGTGGGTTTTCGATTCATTGAAATTAATTTCAAGCACATCTACTCACAAATACAATAATGAATAGAAATCGCCGGTAATGTAAATATTAACGGCGTAAGAGATAAGGTTGCGACGGATCTCACGTTCCAGCGGGGGAGGAAAACCACTGCTATCTTGAAAATAACATGTACTATACTCACGGGATTAATAAACATATCCGCTCGATAGCGCGCTCCGCATATTGACGCGCTCGATAGCGCTAAGCAATAAATGATTGAATAAATAAATAAGTAAATAAATAAATAAACAAACAAATAAACAAACAAAAACAAACAAATAAACAAACAAAAACAAACAAAAACAAACAAAAACAAACAAAAACAAACAAAAACAAACAAAAACAAACAAAAACAAACAAAAACAAACAAACAAACAAATAAAATTTACACTTTGGGTGCAACTGTTACGTGTAAGATAAAATTCATAAAGTTAATTTCTAACCATATGAATACACCGTAATAATGTTTATTCATCATATAGCATTTGTTTTTGTTTTTTTTTCGTGCGTCTTCATACGCTGGTTGCGACTTCCCCGCACGCCCTTTTCCGTTCCCGAGCAACCGGCAGTAATTCGCGATGAAAAGCCGCGTCCGGTCGGGGGCAGGCGGTGCGCCGCATTCCATTTGCATCTCAACGAGCGCGAGAGGCTCCAGTGCGGGGGAGGGTGGTTGGGTGGAGGGCGCCGGAACCACGAGCGACCGAGCGCGCGCGCGCGAGGCGAAGCGCCGCCGAGTGCGACCTTTCCCACGAGCGGCATGCGCGCGCTCGCACGAAATTACACGTCCCGCGTGCGCTGCGCACGCGCGCTGCAGACGTGGTGCGTGGCTTCCGGTGGCCTTACAACGCTTGACGGCTGCGAATGCAAGCGATTCTTTCACATGGGTGGGTTGGTCTATAGTAGTTTGAGAATGCGCGCGGCGATGGTGAAGTTAGCGTATCGGACTGTTGTACCCGAGTTGGCGGGTTCAAACCGTGGATTTTTAAGGGCGAAAAAAATCCTTCGTACTCCTTCCTTCGGAGGGGAAGTAAAGCCGGCTGTCCCATGTTAGATTTACTTGCATGTGAAAGATCCTCAAGCCTAAATGACGCCTCTGAGCTAAATTCAAAAAGCCTATTTCTCGCCCAAGAAATACCACCTTTATCTGGTGGTTGGTGAAAGGAGCGTAGCGAAATGTGCGTGGTCAAACGGAAGAGCAGGCCTCATGGCCTGAGTCTCGCCACGTAAAATAAGGGATTAATTCAATTCAATGTCATTTGGATTATGTATACGTATGGAATTGTATATTTGTATGGATACGTTATGTGTTTGTTGGAATTATGTGTAAGCATTGCTATTTGGATTGTGTATATGTATTTGCAATTGTGTGTTTTTATTTTCTCTGCTTTATATCAATCCTTGTATTTGATTTTTTCAGTAAAAATGTTATTGGTTAAACAAAAATGTAAAGACGGGAAACAGTTGCGAAATTCGGCGCAGTTAAGTTACAGTGAATGTGCAATAAGCAAATTAGACCGTTCAAAGAAAATTAGTATCAAATATAAGTAAATCATTCGTTTGATGGAATAATTTGGTTAATGCTGTTTCAGGCAACACAGAGAACGTGTCACTGAGGATTGGTGAATCCCGTCGTATACTTTTATTTGACGCACGGTTGAGAACATTCAAGGTTCCCGCCTCCCGATTAACTCAGTTAAGCATATCAATCCTTTGAAAAGACAAGACCTCGAGTAAAATTTCAGCAATTTCGAATAATTGATGTTGAAGTTTCAGTGGGTATTTGTCCACAGATTGCAGCAAAAATAATATCTTGAAGCAGAAGTCGGAAAGAACCTTATCACACTAATAAGTCGTTTTATTAGCGTTTTCAGTTGGTACCTTGTTCTCTAAAGGGTCGATATCACTGCGTCTGAATAATAGGCAATTTTCAATACATCAGCGTCCAAAGGGTTGCGTTGGCAGCCGTCAACCCCGAAACTTTTCTCTTTCATATCCAACCGATCGTGTCACTATCTTACCACTTGTGGAACCTAAAATCGTCTCCTATTCTATTGTCTTTCAGTAGTACAAAAACCTTTTGCGCCTACCACAAGCAAATGATTTTTATAAATGAGGTCTATAAAGAAAGAGAATTTCATGGATATGTGACGAATTGCACTTTGACTTTAAAAAGATGACGGATTTGTTTAAAAACTGCATTCAAATATTCATGTCAAATGAAACCTGCAGCACTCTCTCAGCTATATCGTTAAATAACTCCTAAACAAAGCGTTCTAGAGCCTTAAAATCTAAAATTTTTAGACTGCAGGCTTCAAAGAAACGTTCCTCTTTCTGCAATCCACAGGATAAATGTTCATGGACATTCAATTAAATGTTTACTGGTTCGGCACTTAATGATTCTACCAATGCCACCTATATTTCAACCCATTGTGATGGTGGCCATCTTTTTGACATCACACTTAGAAGGCTTAGATTCCTCTACCTTATATACTGAAGAGCCCAAAAAAAGATACACCTGCCTAATATCGATTAGGGCCCCCACGAGCACGCAGAAGTGCCGCTACACGACGTGGCATGGACTCGACTAATGTCTGAACTAGTCCTGGACACCATGAATACTGCAGGGCTGGCCATTAAAAATACGAGTGGGTGGAAATGTTTTCTGAACACCACATTGCAAGGCATTCCATGTATGCTCATAATGTTCATGTCTAGGGATTTTGGTGGCCAGTGGAAGTGTCTAAATTCGGAAGAGTGTCCCTGAATCCACCTGTAGCAATTCTGGACGTGTGGTCTGTCGCTTTGTCCTGCAGTTATTGCCTACGTCAGTCGTGATGCACAATGGATATGAATGGGTGCAGGTCATCAGACAGGATGCTTACGTACGTGGCAACTGACAGAGACTTATCCAGACGTATTAGGGGTCCCAATCATTACAACTGAACACGCCCCATACCATCATCAGCTTGAAAGGTACCCTGTTGACATGCAGGGTCTATGGATTCATGAGGTCGTCGCCGTACTCGTCCATCCACTCGGAACAATATGAAACGAGTCTCGTCAGACCAGGCAACGTGTTTTCAGTCATCAACAGTTCATTATTGTTATTATTATTATTATTATTATTATTATTATTATTATTATTATTATTATTTATTATTATTATTATTATTAATTATTATTATTATTATTATTATTATTATTATTATTATTATTATTATTATTATTCCTTCTCCGCTTAGAACTGTGCCTGGTTCTTTTCATCGTACAGGGGACATGTATCCCTTTTACCAAGAAAGTAAATTTCTGGTTACTTTTCGACCTTCATTCTCACTACTACTATTATGATAATTCTTACAGAATTCATCAGACATGACGCAATATATAAAGAGATTAAGTGAAATATGAGTACGTCAATCCTCACGTTAATGAAAATTAAGGCAAACGGGCTTCTACACTCACTACATAAAATTATTAAAAATCTAATCTTTAAAATCAAATCGTTTGCGATGATGCGGCATCATTTGCGACAATTGTAATTAACGCATCTGTACATTCTTTACGACAAAGAGTGTTAAATAAAATATCAGTAACCCGTATTTTTGAAGACATTTAATGTGTTTATTTCATACGAACTTTGCATTTCATTTTTTGCAGGCAGGTTTAATTAGAATTTTAATAAGTTAACTCACATGGTAGTTTGAGGTAATTCTCGTTCCGTGACCCACATGGTGCGTCCGCCATTTTCAGTCTCCGTGGGCACTGCCGCCCGTGCTTTTTAAAGCTTTAATTTTCATTCTTTAATATTGTTGTGCAAGATTCGTTCTCACTAATTCTACAGTTCTCAGATTCATAATTTCTTATCTTCTCGCGAGATATTTTTTCTCTACGTTTTGTATTGTCAAAACTTCAATAGTAGATCGTTCTTGACTGGTAAGTGATGTATTTGTTCATCGGATTTTGGGTCGAAATTAGCACCACCACCCTACACGTAGGTCACAAATATTGATCTCTCTTAGGGAAGAAAACAAAACGGCGTATTCTTGCAGGTTTTCGGTAAAAATAGCTATGTTCTTATTTCACAGTTATTATGCTTTCCTCATCAACTCATTTAATTTTTCTGTCTCGATTCTCTATGTGGATGTGATTTCATTTCTCTGCACATAAATACACTGACGGAGAAGAGAAGTTGGAAAGGGACGAAGCATCTAGATGTGGCATGGGATCCAAATTTTTTCAACACTAATACATAAAATCTATTACCTAATTTCATTGTTTATTTATTGTAAAATTTTACTTTGCGAACTCGTACGGCAAAGAAATCATCGCCATATAAAACAACTGAGAACTGATAAGTAAACACAACACTGACGGCATGAAACAACATTGCCGCCTTGCTTATTGAGAACGATCCCATGACAATAAGTTTCCATGAATTGGTATTAACTACCTCGTACGGATGTGTCTTTAGCGTCCTCATTTCAAAATGTCGGATTCCGCTTCTATTATCGCCTCGTTCGTTAACATTGTATTCCTATGTCAATGACTAATTAGCTGTGAAAGTAACGTAAATAACTATTTATTGGCATTTTGGTCCATCCTACAATCAAATATTACAAACCTAAGTCTGGTTCTCAGGGACGTTCCCTAATATTACGTGCCGTGATCTGACCCTCTTGCTCCTGAAACGTCATTTCCCGGAAAACACGCGGAAAGTTCGCAAAGCTGCGATTCCAAACATCTTCGCAGTTGGCGAGGGGGTGTTTGTTTCGCGCTGCCAGAACTGCCCAAGGCATTGGCTTCGTCCCAGGTTTAGGCTGCACTCTTGTACTGCTAGCACACTATACGCTGCATGCGCACGCCAAATACGGGTTCACAGCATTCCACTCTACTGCGAATGAGAAAGAAAATGCATTGCTTTCACAAAAATAAAGTATTTAATCTGAAAATGAGAGTAGAGGTTTCGCAAAAAGTTCAGTCTCGTAGGATTCCAATCGAAGACCCGATTGTAATAATCTATCGAATTAACATAGGTGTACGTTAACGGGGCCAGGAGGCTGTGCTCCCCCCTCCAAATGTTCAAAAGGGTCCTGTAGCATATACGTAATAAAAAAATTTATTTCCGTTCATCCACCTTCAATTCCAGATTTCTCCCTTTCTTTACACAGTTTGGGAAATCTGTATGCGATATTTGCGTGAAAGGTCTCTCCACGTCATCTGGCGATCCTGTTAATATTTTAACATAAAATTAATTGTATTTATTAATTATATCATTGAAGTTATAATTATATTTTCCCTGTGGTGTGTTTTTGTTTACTAGTAAAATACTCGTTTGACTGAAGTAAAGAAAATAGTAATGGAAAAGTGGGCCCAGAAAGATAATTGTATCCCTCTTGTTTTAG